ATACATTTATAAAATATTCAGGGAATATCGTATATTCATTCGAGATGATGTTGAGAATATACATAGAATGTACCTCTTATAGGATGCATATATATTTATGAATATTCGTAGAATATCGTATATTCATTCGAAATGATAGGAGGAATATACATAAAATATACCTCTTGTACATTCTATGAATGTTCAACTAATGCAGCAAGATATGCACGATAATACTGAGTAAAACTATAGCTATTTATTATCCCTACGTGTAATTTTGCGGCTATTTAATTATTTAATGAAGAAATAAATAATGATAAAAATATATTTTTTATTGCGAGTTTATCAAACTGGTCCATCTGTTGGTTTGTAAGCTGGAACTCAGAAAGCATTTTGACATCCAATGTATATACATTGCATGTACAGCGCGTTGCATTTGCACATACCTATGTGATATCCAATGTATGTCGTTGATGTATGTTCATAGGATATGTCATACACTGATGTATATGCAATGTATATACATTGGATGTCAAAATGCTATCTGGGTAACAGAGTGGCTGTTCTTGGTTCACGCAAGACTCTCCGCCAACAGTCTTGCGTTTAAGCCCCGCCACCGCGTCAAGGTGACAGCCACGTCGGCAGGGAGGAAGGGTAGGAAGGGTCAAGATTGATGGATGGAAGGAAGACAACGTGAATAATTCAATAAACATAAGACTGTCTGAATATATATATTTATTTATTGGATTAATTATTAATATTGGTTACGATTAATTAAAATAAAGTAATTGGGACGTTGCGTCATTTCACTCCTTTCTGAAAAAAGAAAATTATTTTACATTGGTTGCACGATGAGAAAAAGCAAATAATTAACAAATAAATGTTTACCTTGGACGTTTGACGCCGTCCTGGACATCGTCGTCGTCCAGTTCCTCGTGCTCCTGTCTGAAAAAAGAAAAATATTTTACATTGGTTGCGCGATGAGAAAAAGAAAATAATTAACAAATAAATGTTTACCTTGGACGTTCGACGTCGTCCTCGACATGGTCGCCGTCCAGTTGTCCGTCCTCCTTTCTGAAAAAAGAAAATTATTTTACATTCGTTGCACGAAAAGGAAAAGAAAATAATGAACAAGTAAATGTTGACCTTGCACTTTTGTCCACGTCTTCCTCGTCGTCGTCGTCGTCGTCGTCGTCGTTGTCCACGCCGTCGTCCACGTCAAAGCTGTCCACGTCAAAGTTGTCCACGTCAAAGTTGTCCACGTCCAAGTGGTCCACGTCCAAGTTGTCGAGGTCGCCCAAATTACTCAATGCGTCGACGTCCACGGTCGACGCGGTGTCATCGTTGGACTCGGCGACGTCATGGGAATTAGTTCGTAATCCTCCGTCTCTGAAATAAAAGGCAGATGTACATTATTCGACGCGACGATGGTACTTTTGCGTACAAACATACTCACGTCCACTCGATTTCTTTGGGCTCCTCCAGGTCCCTCTCGTCGAATTTAAGAGGCCGCGACATGATACTTGACAACTGCATTATAAAAATGGTATACTGGTTACGATAGATTTACATGTATACGTGCCGCAAAGCCATACAGCACGCGTGTCTATTCGACATCTTTGAGTCGTCTTTCAGACACACGTATCTAAAAGACAACTCCGAGACAAATTAAATGTGTCTTCTCGACATGCATATTGAGAAGAAAGCATAAGAAATGTAGCCATGTATGTACTTTTTGTTATTCTCCTAATAATGTATCGATGTATCCGTGATATAATTGAGAGAAACAAATAGACGGTAATAGTCTACAGCTCCTCTAAAATATATCGGTAAAACATTTAATACATCTATCGCCTAATAAACATTACAAGGAGAATGAAATTCAATCATTATGAGAATAACAAGACGTACGTAGCTACTCGAAATACATATTCGCAGTCCGTTGTTATATTTCGGATCGGATCTCGAGCTCTTTTTTTGACACATGACACAGAGCCGTACTAACCTCTTTAGACAACACACTCGACAGGATGGAGACGGATGGAAATTGACTATATTTTCGAGTAGAGTTTGTTCCGCGATTGAAACTTTGGCCACGGTCAATGATATCTTTACACGATTGGCTGCATCTACGAGTATTAACCAATCGTACCGAGCGCGACCCATAGGTGGCGACGTGCGCACGTTCCGTGTGTACGCGGTTCCAAGTACGACACAGAGTCAGGTGACAGCGATCCAATTGTTCGACAGACCCCCGAGAGAGTAGAGGTAGAGGTAAGAGAGATAATATTGGTCGCGATAAATAGTATTATTACAATTGCCAGATACGGTCGTTGACGTGTCGACGATTCAACAAATTGTCATCTATTTCAGATTGAAATGGCGTGCTACAGCGTCGACCAAATAAATAAAAACCCGTGGCTGTCGATCCAGGACGTGGTTGGCGACGCCAAGACGTGGCCCCAATTCATACGTACTATGTTTTGGGACCGCAACTTTGTGGACCACAACAGGATGGTCAATTTTGCGATCCTGAACCACGTGTCGGAACCTTTTTTGCACGAGGTTCTAGAGTTTACATTAAAAACTGCGTACACGCCGGACAGGCGAAGGCAGATAACGGATAGATTCCGTTATTACAACCACGAGGTAAATGTTGAAATTGTTATGGATAACGACATCCGCTGACTCGATCGACGAGTTGTTTAATCGTTGCGTGCCTTTGCAGGAATTGGGCGAGATGCGACGTAGCCGTGCGTATAGCTACAACGTCCACTGTAAGTGCATGTTCAACCTCAATTTTGGTCCAGTGGATCCGTCAGTAAGACGAAGAGAGTGAATGTTGTATACATACTATACAGTGAGACACATGTATGATACAATAAAAATGAAAATATACCTCGTACGTGTCCGTTATTCGGCAGCTCTCTCTCTCTCTCTCCCTCCTTCTTGGTCCGTACTCCTGTACTCTCCCGATTGGTAGTCTGAAATATTGGAAACGTTATTAGCAAGTAAATATTGATCCGTCGATCCTATGACGTTAAATACAAATTCTTATAAACATAAGGCTTGTTTTCTATTGCTGCACTGGTCAACTAGTGCAGTAATGTAGAATGAGAAAAATGTACTTGTCCTACTCAAACTTATTGCACTAGTTGACCAGTGTAGCAACAGAAAACAAGCCTATAGTATCGTAGCAACATTGTATATATAGGATAGAAAAGCTCGTGTACTTGGATAAATGAGATATGAAACGAAAGAAATGTATAGCTTTTTACTGGCAACGAAATATAGATGGAGAGATATTAAAGATTATCGTTAAATATAAGAATAGACTGTTAAGGAGCCTTGACGAGCGAGCAACCGAATGAAATGCCAAGTATGCTTTTCTGTACAGCAGAGAATACAGTTG